ATAATTAGATATGATTATATTTGGCCATTTTTCATATATAATCATATATAACCAATTTATATATAAATATATATAATTATATATAAATATTTTTTCTCGGGTGCTCATTTTTGATTTTAGATTTATTTTTTTTATAAATAACCAGTATTTTCTGCGAATTTCCTGAAATTTTCATTAGCATTTTTTTTTCTTTTTATCTTCATTTTTAAAAATAAAAAAAAAATTTTTTTTCAATGTTTGTTTTTCGTTATACCACTCTTAAAATTTTTCAGTAGATTTAAAAAACTTTAAAATCCGAGAAAAAAAAATAAAGAAATCTGGAAAACGGTTAATCCTAAAGGCCATTCCTGCAACTTCCCGCTAATTCCATATCAAAAAGCGCTTAAAATTGCAGTTATTACGTTTTTGAGCTCTTCGACCTCAAAAATAGAATTTATGTGTTATTTTGAGCTCTCCGAGCTCAATGAGTTAGCTGTTTTAAGCCTTTGAGCTCTTCGAGCTCAAAAGTCTGATAGAAGGTTAATAAAACAGTATTTTTTGAATTTTCAAACCGCAATAATTTTTGAATGAATAAACCGATTTTCACACGGTTATAAGTTAATAAGTTGAACTCAATAAGTTAATTTTTAATAAAGTTATGGTTATTTAACAAAAAAACGATATTTTTATTGAATAACTCGTAACTTTTTTTGGTTGAGTAAGAAAATTTGAAAATTATTTTCAATAGGGTAGAGAAAGATACAAAAATTTCAGAAAAATCTTCATCATATAAATTTAGCTTATGAGAATGATGAGATGTGAGTCAACTCATCGGTCGTATGGTGTAGGGGTTAGTTACGTCTGTCAAGCGCGCGGCTCAGGTTCGAATCTCGGTTAGAGGATATTTTCACTTTATTTCTACAATTAACGAATGTTAGGTCTAAATTAAAAATCAAACGGTCTGAATTTGCGATAGCTCTACATCAAAAATAAAATTAAAATATGACACTGACGAAATCCTTTTTTTATCATTTTTTATCAAATAGCATGAGCCAGTCATAGCATGCCGCTAACGGCAGCCATTTGTATCTGGATCCATTCCCCTTTTCTTTCTTTCCCCTCGCCGACATCATATTAACCAATAAGGATCTTTTTTACGGTAGAGATGTAGTGTTTCAGTAGGCTCAATTTATGGTTCTAAAACTGTAATTTCGGCCTAACTTTGATAAAAACGGACAAAAATACCACTTGTAGGCTGAAATTATGGTTCTGATATACGCGTCATCGTAGTCGAAAAAATCTAAAACCATAATTTCTACCTATAACTCCTCCAGTAGGTTGTGGAGGCTCAAAATAGGTCCACTGATGATTGGTGTCCCACGACAATTCACCCCCGACATTCCACCCCCCGATTGTGTCGCTGACTTGTTGTCTATACGACAAATTAAACTACAAATTGATATTTGTTATTTACTGTAAGATGGACGGTGGTGTTCACTCAAGTCAGGTGTTAATAAGTGACTGAATAGTAATTACGGACAGTGTCTCGGATAGCTTAACTGGTAGAGCCTTTGGCGCGTAACCGAACGATCCGGGTTCGAGTCCCGGTCCAGGCTGTCCGAATTACATTTTTTCAGTTACCAAAAAATTCCTACTGAGTAAAAAAAGGTCCCCCCTTCCACCCCTTTATCCTTTATTCACTCAATTCCCAAAATTTGTCGCGGTCATTATGACGCTGACACAACATCGCCGGATGAATTGTCCTGGGATGAGTTGTCCTGGGATCAATAATCAGTCAACCCTCAAAATATGTTTTTAATTTTGACTCGGGAATTCATATATAAATTACTAATAAGACAAAAGAGTATAATATTTGTTAATAAGACAAAAAAGTATACTCATTCAAAATTGTATGATTATAGTCTTATATGATGACTTTCTATTATGATGAATTAATATGAGTCCAATGAGTCTTAACGGTTGATTACAAAAAAAATTAGGAAAACGGTTGACCCTAAAGGCCATCCCTGCAACTTCCCGCTCATTTCATACTTAAGCGCAAAAAATTGCATTTATTACGTTTTTGAGCTCTTCAAGCTCAAAAATATAATTTTCGTATCATTTTGAGCTCTACGAGCTCAAAAATCTGCTGGAAGTTGGATAAAACACTATTTTTCGAATTTTTAAACCACAATAACTTTTAAATAAATGAACCGATTTTTACGGGGTTGGTGGCATTCAACGCAGTTTTTAAAGCCTCATGAAGAACCTTTAAGTTAAAATTTATCGAACAAGAAATTTCAAAGTAATTCTCAAAAAACGATTTTTTCGATTTTTTTCGTTAACGATAACTCACGAATGAATTAACCGTTTTCGACCAGACTGGCAGCAATCGATGTGGTTCTTCGATGTTAAGAGCTGATTAGTTTTTGGAATCGATCGGTTGAGCCGTTTCGAAGTTATTCCAAAAAAACCACATTTGAAAAAAATTTTTTTTGCAGTTGATTTGAGATTTCTCAAAATCTACTGGTTCGAATTGATCCAAATTATGGTAAAAATCTAAGTTTGGTCAAGCCCTTTCGAATAGTGCCAACCGCGATGAAATCGGTCAAGCCGTTCAAAAGTTATGAGAGGTTTACATACGGTCGTACACACACACACACACGATCCAAGACAATTTATTTAAGTCAAGAAAATTTTTCTTGTTTTGAGAAAATTTCTCTCTTGCTCCAAAAAATTAAGTTCTTGACAGAAGTAAATTTTCTTGTCTTGAGAAAATTTTTCTCTTGCTCCAAAAAATTAAATATCTTGATGTAAATTTTCATTAATATTTTTATTAACTAACATGTCTAATGGGAAAAGATCAAGTAATATTGAATCATTTCTTTTTATTCAATATGTATAATTGCGCTCTAAAATAGTCTAAAATGGGTATCAAATATTCAAGAGAAAAATTTTCGCAAGATGAGATAATTTTTTTCTCAGCTGAAGTAGGTAGCGCTGCTTCTCTAAAGTATCTAAAAATCTTGATCAAATACAAAAATTTATTGTATCAAGTATTTATGATAATTTGAATTAAGAAAAAATTACTTCCACCAAGAATAAAATTTCAAGAAAAATTTTTACTTCGGCCAAGACAACTTCGGTCTTCCTTCGGGCACCCGAAAATTTACTTGAGCCAAGAATTTTGTTCTCCAACATTCACTACCAAATATAATTTGCATTTAATTCTCGATGCATCATCACATCAGTAGCAATTTTAGCATTAAGATTGTGATCCTCATAATATTTCTTATTCACAATCCATTCTAGCATTTTCTTAGCGCCAAAATCAGCACAAATTTTCGAATCACCAATTAGACTAGTATGAAAGCGACAGAAGGAACCCTGGATATCAAAGGCTTTTTCGTTATAGTTCAATTTGTCCATACACAAACTCGAATCTATAAACTCTCTCGACAAGCTGAAACTTCTCTGCAATTGATTTCTGTGAATCGCGCTTTTGACAAATATACGCTTGTTGCTAAGAGCAAAATTAACGACATTTTTAATTATATCGATAACACGAGATGAATCATGCGATCCATTAGCCCATTCTATTCCATATGTTTCATAATAATTTTCATTGTAATCAGCAATAAAACTTTGCATATTCAACAAATCCCTTGGAAACTTGGCTACAAATAAATTATGGTAGACGATCGATCCTTTATTGTCTATCCCGTAAATACTTATCTCTTTCATAGCGAATTTATTATCCGCGGAGTAATATCCATT